AATCCGAAGAACAGAAATGCTGTGTTTAGTCATATTGATATGTAAGCATCCTCATGTATTGAAGATTTAAATTTGTTCAAATCATGGCCCTTTGTGAAAGGGAGGGAAACAATGGGGAATCAGATTCAATTTATTATGAAGTAATATATAGGATCAACATGTTTTTAAAAAATCTTTTTATCAAGAACAGCAAAGTCATATGCTGTATTGATATGAAGGCATTCTCAAGTAGTATTCAAATTGAAGCCCCCCCCCCCCCACCTCAGTAAACTTTTGAGTTCTGATCTGATTTGTGCTTTTTCCCAGCCGATGTGCTCAGGTGAGCGATGTGGCCCCTTGGCCTCTTGTTTTTATTCTTCTCATGTAGGCATCAAAACCAATTGTTCTGCTTTAGAGAATGGCTAATGAAGGAGCACAGTAAATGTCCATCTATATTCCATCTGTTAGATTAAAGATTTTGTCTCATTTCTATGAAGTAACTCCAGCACCCATTCAATACTAAGTATCACTTTCAGAGAACTTTTATGTAAAATCAGAGCTTTTTTAAGCAAAAGATAATTAACTGAACACCAATCACAAGATAAGAAAGAAGATGGGGAATAGGGCGGACAAAGTGCCTACAGTGCGACAGATAAGAAGAAAAAAAATAATTTCAATTATATCAAAATTTTATTTGAGATTACATCTAATATTAAAGTATACTTAATGTAAAATCTCTACATTTACAAAAAATTCACAAAGACTGAAAATATTTATCAATAAAAGAGCATACACACACTAAAAAGAACAAAAACGATCATTTTCTCGTACTTTGACAAAATTTTTCAATATGAGTGGGTCTTCGCTCCATTTTATTTTGAAAGATAATCCTAAAAGTTTTCAATAAAATGTACATTTTTTGGTTTACAAAAACATGGAGCGAAGACCCACTTTACCTTACACTTTTATGACAAAACATTCGCATCTTTCCGAGAAATACTTGAAGTCCACTAAGTCAAGGGTCATATCACAAACATGATTGAAATGCCCGCAGTCTTCATGAGCCATGTAGCACAGTGGTTAGCACGTTGGCCTCAACGCTGTTATAGTATATGATCCGTTGGATTTTTATTGCTAGGGGTCGAATCTCACGAATACCATCTAAAAGTTTTAGAAAAGAAAAAAATACGAGTTTTTTTCTCTCAGAAAAGTTTTTTCTCTCAAAATTACAAAACTTTTAATAATGAGAAGTGAATTCAAGGTAGAACCTATGTCGGAAAAGTATTTGTCACAAGATTTTCAAACTATTCAAAATGATAAATTAGTACTTGCATATCAATCAGTTAAAAGCTCATGATATGTTTCCTTGTTTTTAAATGTAGTACAGTCTGCGAAACTTGGAATGATAATTACATACTGCAACTACACATTTTCAGTTTTTTTTACTTAGGGTTACTTGTCAAGAAGGACATATGAAAAATCAAAAAAATACCTCTTCAAACATCGTCGTTTATAGGCTTTTTAAGTGAAAAATATTAAGCAATATTTCTCAAGATTAATTTCTTGTTTCATCAATTGTCATAGGCAAATGAACGCTCTATTTTTTTAGTCAATTTTCCATCCAACATTTGTAAATATTTTTTAGAAGTCTTTGTTACAATGTTTTCAATCTTTAATATGATGAAGAACATACCCAAATGATTACAAAAAGTGATTGAAATATATACCTTTCGCCTCCAACTAATGAGATATAGGTTATTTACCGATGCTAATATTCTTGGCCTTTTTGCACTTACACAGGATTTAATTATTATATGACTGTTGTGGGTTACTTTCAGATTAAAGATGTTTTTCAAAAATTATACTTTTTATTTAAAAAGATAATATCTAATAGAAAAATTGTAATCAAACATCAATTAATATGAATAACTAACAAATAATAATGAAAAAGAATGCACTGACATCATTTCATGATAGATATCACAAAAATGTACACGTACATCATAGACTTAGACACATTTCGTCAAGATCTAATTACACTATTTAGTGGGCAACTGAAGATGTCTTAGGATTTTTGCATTCCTTCAAAATAGTTACATACCATTCACATTATTACAGTAAGTTGTATACATTGTAATTTCATTACACAAGATAGTCTTGAATTTGTCTACTTGATTAAGGTCAAAATCTAGTAAAGGAAAGGTGTCTATAGGTTTCTCTAAGACAGGAATATATTGTCATTTTAAAAGCATTATAACCAAAAAAAGTATATAAATTGAATTAAGATTATTTCGTTTAAATTGAATTCTATGAATGTCAAAATGCAGTGATTTCTACCATTTCTATTGAAGCTGTAAAGTACGGGAAAAAGTGACATCGAATTAATTATGACGTCATAAACAAATTCACTAGTTATGATGTCACACGACGTAGGTTCTACGTTAATTAAATACTCAATTCACATACTGAATTAGCCCCTTCACGATAACTGCGGTACTATACTTTTGCAGGGAAAAATAATAACGTTTGGCGGACTTTTTGTCGATAGATAATTAAATGACATATTTCAAACAATTACTTTTACGTCATATTTCACCAAACTATATCATTTTGCCCTGAAAAAGAGCAGTACCGCAGTCAGCGTGAAACGGTCTAAAGTATACGATTTCTTGATATCCGACGCTATAGGCATTCTGCCCGCCTTGTTCCCCCACCTTCTTTCTTACTTCCATTTTTATTGAAGAAGTACTTATCTAAGATATAAAAATAGCCTATTTTTTTAATTGATCGTGAAGAGCTGCTGTATTAATTAAGAATAGAAAATCGTACCTATTGACGATGTGTCTAACTTTTTGAAAAACTTTACAATTTAATTTTTTTTTAAATTACAATAATTTTTAGAATTGTTTTTACCACTTCCAGATTATGCTGTAGCATAGTACCTCAGTTTCATCGTTACGACATTTAATAATTTTGAAAGGAGTAAAGAAAGGGGCTTGGTGGAGCATAAGCTGGACCTGCAATGTGTCTTAAAAGTTGAAAGCTTTTGTTTGTACGAATGTTTATAAAGATTAGGACGACGTGTACATAATGCAGTCAGATAATGCAGATTATATATCAAACTGAAATCATATTAAAGTAAAGGAGGAGTTGAGGATGAGATGGATGGGTACCTTTCAATATTTTAGAAAGAATTGCAGTGTCCATGTTCTGCTGTGGGAAACCTGAAACGTGTACCTGATCAAAAAGTAAAATAGGAGGTCACAATGGCATTATTCATAAAGAATCTAAGAAAGTATCACAAAATTTTATTTACTGGGAGGGGAGTTGCGGATAACAAATGGGTTCCCCAAAACGTAACGGACGGACGTACAGTTAGACGGACATCTCGATTTCTACACTCTCCCACTTTTCAAGTGGGGATACTAATATAATAAAAAAAAATCTTCTTTTTTTGCATAAATTCTATGAAACAATAAAAAAAAATCAATAAGAAAACACTTGTTGTGGCCTTCAAAGCGACATTTAGATACATCGGCGACGTATTTTATAGTTATAGATAATTCGAATTCCATTCATAAGTCGACACGATATACCCCTTTGAGCCTGGAATTCAAGATCCCACCGTCTGACACATTTGTTTCATATTTGGATTTATACTACAAAAGACGTCAGTTGTAGCTTAAAAACCAAGTTTTGTGATAATCCATTGATTTTGACTTTTCAGTCGACATTTTGCTTCATTTACGAGGCAATACACCACTGTCACCTAGATATAGAGTCTATGTCTCCCTTTAGACCAAACCCTTTGCTCGAACAATTTAAAGACAGGGCTACCGATTTTTTTGTTTTCATTTTAGTAGTGTTTTCTGATCTATTAAAAGTAAATTTTTCTCTTTAATGGAAAGAAAACGAAGCATATTTAGATGATTGACAAACAATTTTTATGCTAAGAAAGGCACTGAAAGAAAAACCTAGTGAATTTAAGTAGTGTGTTTCGTAAAGCGTTGGTCGTGATTAGTAAACTTTCAGTTTACTGGTTAAGATAGTGAGTTGTGGAGAGGGGGTCGTATAGATACTTAGATACCTAGTGAAAGTTACTCATCAATTCTAAATTTACTAATCTTATTTAGTAAATATACGAATATCTGGTAAAACTACTATTAAGGTAGTGATTGTATGGACAGTGAATCTACTAGTTTTCTTCGTGACATTAACTAGTTATTTTTTTACAGTGGGGGTTATCTTGCTCTTGTACTCCTATTAATGTTAAGGACTTTGAGAAAGACTGATTAACTGTGTTGTTTAACGTCGCATTTGTTATTTATTCTTAATTTGAGAAATATATTAGGGGGATATAAAATATTACATTTTTAAATCTTAAAGAGGACAATATAAATAACATTTCCAGAAACACTGGCTTAGAATAAAAACAAATGGTTTTCTCTGGATTAAAACTTAACCACTAGTCACAAAGCCCGTACACTTACATGTAATTTCGTAATTTATTTGGGGACGATATTTTTTACGAGTATTATGTGATGAAAATTTGTTTACGCGCATAAAATCAGTATAATTTTTGTGTGGTATTTATCATTGAAAAGGGGAAAGTTGATGATTTCTGCACACATTCCTCATTCATTGAAGATCATAATCTTTTCTTTGCGTCTGTTTGTCGAAATTGGGGTCATATATCTACTATGCAAGCTTCTCATTGACATTTTGGCCTGGACAATTTGCAGAAAACGATCTCGGAAAGAAAAGAGCTCATTGACTCTGAAGACAACTATCATAGGACATCCCACCCGATTCCATAAATTAGACGTCAAAAGAGTAAATGCACAGCAATGCGTGACGATGAACGGGAGAAATAAACATAAAAGTTCCAGACCGGAAGTTATAAATCTATTTCAACCGCTTATGACCACGATGAATTGTATCTCTTGCTCGGCTTAAAATAACCGTTAAATGAAATGGTATAAATTAACTCTGTATAACTTAAATCGAAAGCTACCAAAGTAATCACTTTAAATTTAAAACCCAGAGGGAATAACACGATCACGACACAATGGGGTTTTCAGAGGTATGTTTCGCAAGCATGATGGGACATTTTCTTTCACCCGTTAATCACTTTATATATTTTATTTCAAATATGTTTTTGGTGTATCTGAAATTAACAGAGATTAAATTTTATTATTATCAAGAGCTCAGGATTATAAGAGGATAAATCCAACAAACTATCTTAATAACAATACAATGTAATATCATAGGTTTCTAACTACTGTTCTTCTGTTTTTCATCTATGATATCACGGCAAAAAGGAAACTACTTTCAAGCTGATTTAATTCAAATTATATTTTTCATAAGTACTGACTTCCTGTATTCACCACTTATGTGATTATTTTACTACGTTTTGTCATATTTTTATGTAAAAGAAACTAAATAAGATTGTTTTTTCTATGTACAATAGAGTTTTTTTGACTAAAAATAAAATTATCCATTTCATTTTATTTCATTGTGTAATTAATATTTTTGTGCAAATGTTTAAAAAAAACATAACAATTCCTAACATCAGATCACATTTTTGAACACAGCATTTTTCTTCACGCTTTATTTCTTATTTTATAATTGAAGTAACTCTTCTTTGTGAACCATGTTTACGTTTATTAGATTAAATGACATAATATTAACACAAATGGTTCTTTTACGCCAAAGCTTAAACCGTTGAATATAAATGTAAAAAGTTTTAAAATCTATTTTTCACGAAACAAATTTTCTAAACAATTCAAATAAGAAGTCCAGAGGAAAGATTATATTACGTGCTTTTTATTAAAATGTTGTTCCTTGGTTCTACATTTTGTATATGTAACATTCAGTGTTCTTGTTTTTTGAAAAAGTTGTTTCGTTTGGTTATATACCAGGTATTTCGATCTAAGAATGTATTAAATTTTGATATGGAACTTGTATTACAAGTATATAATATGTAATGAAGGAAGGACATCCACTATATGGAGGATATGCATATTTCTTTGTAGATCTATGTAATTCAAACAAAAGCGTGGTGGGGAGGGGTATAAAAAATGAATGTTTTCCTATAGTTTTAAACTGATGAAAAATACCGCTTTATTATTATTAGGATTTGCAGTTTGAGTAAAAATGGCATGTCGAAATGAGTTATAGACTTAAGTAACAGGTTAAACTAAGTCTTATACATGGTAATTGATGTAGGATAAAAATTGGGGGGAAAATACCTCGCCAACAAAAGGTATTTCTACATTTGTTTGGGTTTGCCAAAAAATATATTCTTTACAATATTTTTTCAACAACAATACAATCACAATTAATTCTTCATATGACAATGTGAATTCATAGGTGCGAATGCTTCTGTAAAAATTCCAAGTACAACTCATTATAATTCCGCTTGAAAAGTTGGAGGGTATATAGTGATCGGGATGTCCGTTCGTCCGTCTGTCTGTTACGCTACGGGGTAGCCATCTCTTATCCGCAATTCCTCTTAAACTTCTGAATGTAATTTAATGAGACTTTTATTTTTGTAACATACAAGGTAGTGCCACTGTGACCTCCTTTTTCACTTTTTGATCAGAAACACATTTCGAGTTTCCCATAGGAAAACATTGACACAATCCATTACAGCATTATCCACAATTCCTCCAATAATTAATAAAATGAAATGATACTTTTTTGTTCTCTTTATTACATAATGCCATTGTGCACCTCTTATTTTACTATTTGGTCTGACACTAATTTCGGATCTCCCAATTTAAAGCAAAACATGGACTTTGTCATTATGATCATACGAGAGGCGAGGAATCATATCATTTAGTGAGCTCAGTGCTCACAGTACCTTTAGTTTATTATACCCCGCTTGAACGTCCGTTCGTAGGTCTGTTCTTCTGTCCATCCGTACGTTATGCTTCGGGGTACCTAGCTCTTATTCGCACCTCCTCTTATATCACTGGATGAAATTTAATGAAACTTTACAGAATCTTTGTTACATAGTACCATTGTGCACCTTCTATTTTACATTTTGATCCGACACATATTTTGGGTTTCACATAGCCAATCAGTGATGCGCATTGCCATTCTTGAATATTAAAGGGTCCCATCTCTTGTCCGCAACTCTTCCAAAACTCCTGAATTTACTCAGATACTTTCGCAAATCCTTTACATAATGCTTTTGTGGTTATGTACTTCCTATTTTACTTTTTGGACTGACACTTATTTCGGGTCTTCCAAAGGAAATCATGGACTTTGCCTTTATAACCAAATGAGAGGCGATCTATAGTTTTTACACATACTTTGCCTATTTCTATCTTTTTTACGCCATTATAGCATTGATTATATAATAGTATTATATTTGGACATTAAAGTGTTAATTTTCCGATTTTTATTTGTCCACGTTATTTTTCTCACACTTCACCGACCGCAACTACTTCTGTTACTCGCTCAGAATTTGAATTCTTTTCATATTGTATGCGCTACATAGTCTCCAAATTAAGTTATGTGTTTAAGGTTTGTACCATTTTTTTATTAACAGACTCTGAAGAATTGTTGAAAATTAAATTATATATATTTTTTAAACACAATAAACAGTGAAAATATGACTTATTCTTTAACAAAAATGTACAAAATATAATAAGAATACTAACGAAATAAACGTTTATAATTTATTTTCAAAAATAAAGAAACTATCCTTTCATATTACAAAACCTATATCTCATTTGTAACTCGACAAATGACATTGAAATTTTGCTTCTGCTTTCAAAATTCCCAAGATAAAATACTAAGTGCTCCTAATGACACTGGAGACGTATAATTTGACATTTTTAAGGACAACTCGTGATTAAGCCCCTTTCAAGTGGGAGCAGATGATATGATATTACGTGTACATGTATTCTTGGAAATTGGAATGAAGGTGTTATACCTAATGAATATGTATAAGTAACGTAAATTGATAGGTATATAATTTCCAATATTTGATGACCATCAGATAGTTTTACCAACATTATTTGTCGAAGCGCACATCTTAGGATTAATTATCGATCGGATTCTAGAAAAGAACTTTTCGTTAGGGTAGGTACTTCTTTGCATTTTAAAAAACGTTCAAATTTTAAAAAAAAAATGCTTTAGATTCGTGTATTTCTTCGCCTCCCATATATAAGTATGCTATTTGATACTGGTGGAATTTTGCAATGAAGGAAAATTTTCAAACATTGAAATAGTGCCGGAAAATCGAATTATGATATAATTGTACATTGTTCAAAATAGTTTATTTATATAAAAATCCGATTAATGCTATTGAAAATTCATTGGACACGATTCCAATTAGTTACATGTAGTTGAATAATAAATTACACTAATGTAGAAACTAATTTCTCATGCTAGTTCAGATTCACACTGAGTCAAATAATGCTAGGAATTTAAAACAACCATCTGTTCCGTGCGCTAGTAATAAAATAAATGTTATCACAATTAATTGACATTTAGACAACTCAATGGTTTTCCGATACTGTTCATTCTTTAAGAGACACAGTTTTCTACACAAATGCATTAATTGTTACCAAAAAGTTCTGTTGATTGAATAGATATATGTCATAATTATAGAAAGCAGAGGGTAATGAATACCAATGATTTACTATGGTATTTATGTTTATTGGATGTCGAGAACAAATATCTATGAAATGCTAAATACAAGTAATGATTGATATTAAGATACCTCGTTTTAGTTCCATGAATAAAAATACCAATGCTTTATTCTTTTCATTTTCCTTTCCTAAAGGGATGCGATGATATCACTATGCATCTAAAAACAGCAAGACAATTTGTATAATAAATAATTTTACTATTTTACAGCAGAACTTTTCAAACATTTTATATTTTTATCCGATGCATGTTTGGCAATTAATTGTGCAAGCGAGGAAATGTAGAGGTATAAATAATGAATTGATGAAGTTTTTAAAGGGTCCAAAACAACAAATTAAGAATGCAGAAACATTTTCCAAGATTGACAAAAAAGCCAACAAAATTTTCTTGGTATAAAATTATTTACGAAAAAGATACTAGTATTTATATTGTTTAGCGCAGTTTGTTATTGCTCAATTTTGAAATGTAATCGGTAATTAACAAATTATATATGGAATGTTAAAAGTGTATTTCAGTTACATTTTGATAACTACTTGTAATGAATAATGCACTCATTGGCAATTGACATTTGTTAATGAAACTTAAAGTTTTGCATCGACTTTGTAGCTCTAAGCCGCACAGTACTTGATACTACTAGAAAGCATTACACATGTACTCACAATTTTCAACAAGGTCTGGTTTAATTTGAGGCTACTATATATACAGAACTGTTTTGGGGCTTCTTCCTATTGATATGATGTTGAAACAATTTTATTTACTGAGTTCACGTGATATTTGTGAAATTTTGATATATAACTCTTTTAAAAACACCTGACATTTTCTCTTTTTTTGGAAAATTCAATGATATAAAGCTATATATAGTCGGTTGAAGAGCTCTACAGAGCATATATTTACTTATACTATGTAAAAAATGCCGACTTTAAATAAAATTTACTTACTTACTTAGCAACAATTGTTCTTATTCTAGACAATGTAAGACGACGTTAACGTATTTTGCAACGAGTGATGTATTCGTGTTTACTTTAAATTTATGTAATTAAGTTTTCTTCATTACTCTTTTTTAATCTGCATTTCAATGATGTGCAAGTGTTTCCCAAGTTCTTGAAGTTCAAAATTTTCAAAATGGCAGCAATTTCGACGAAACAATCATTGGTAATTTTTCTAAATATTTGCAAATGAATTGATCCTTACTTTGTTACAATTCAATTACTAGTATTGCACCGTGTATGATTTTTATGCAGTATTTTCTTCATCACAGATATTAAATTCATGTTAAGTATATGATGGTTGTCCCTAAATTCCTAGACTAAGGTAATATTTTTTCAGTAATTAACATATCTTTTCTAAAAAAAAAAACATCTGAATGGATAAAATGCATTGTTGATTGATAAGTCAACGAAGTTTCGACATCCTCACTTCAAAATAATTTTAATGAAATGATTTTAGTGTTTAATTACACCCGATTCAATCTCTGATGTCTAAAAAGAGCAAGGTCAGTTTCAAGTTTGTGGAGAAATACACTGATTACTAAATTAAAATTCTTTTTCCCCTTTTTTTATAGATATCATAGATATTCTCGATATAAATTCAATTTATCTCAATATTATGTACATGTATGACAAAATTGTTAAAAATACCCGAGTCATAACAAATACGTTATCTATGGTCTGTTATTATCGACCAAACACAAAAAATGAACGATTAAGCATTTTAGTATCTGGGAACCAGCCCCGGCTCCTTCTTCTCAAAAAACAATATTCCATTATTCTAAAAATTACCAAAGGCTGCTTGCCCCCTTATTTTTTCTTTTAGATTTAGTGTAGTAAAGCCTAAAACTCTATTTTTGTATTTTTTCTAACCATACGAGAAAACTACTTTTTTTATACCCCCCCTCCGCTCGAAAAGTGAGAGAGTATATAGTGATCGAAATATCCGTCCGTCCTTACCTACGTTCGTCCTTCTCTCAGGCTTTGGGTTATACATTTTTTTTATTACACTATTATACTCCTGTAATATACCACTGAATGTAATAATTATTTATGAAACTTTTACAGATTCTTTGTGACATCGTGCCATTTTGCACCTCCTATTTACTTTTTGATCTGACACATATTCTTGGTTTCCTATGGCAAAACATAGATAATGTCATTCTTTCTATAAAATTGAAGGGTGCCCATCTCTTATCCGCAACTCTTCCTACACCGCTGAGTTTTATATAATGATAATTTTACAGATTCTTTAACATAATGCCTATTTTAATTTTTGATCTGACACTTATTTCGGGTTTCCCATAACAAAACATGGACTTTGTCATTATAGTCATATGGGAAGGGGGTATCATTTATTGAGCTCAGTGCTCACAGTACCTTTAGTTTTAAAGGCATATTCATCCATTGTCACTCCTATGCTTTGAAAAGATCAATATTATTATTCCAAAATTCCAGGATTATACTAATTAGTATTTCACCGCCAAAAGTTTCAGTCTTAAACTGCTCTTCAATGGCAACATATTCTTAGACATTAAATGGTAACAGTCGGTAGGGGGAGGGAAAATAATAAATAGAACATTTTTTTTTCTTGGATATGAAATTCATATAAAGAATATATGGATATATGACTTTTTCAGAGAAAAACGAGTTAAAGTGCCATTTTTTTTTCAAGAAATGAAGTTGAACAACCCCTTAACATGATTATCCTGTCATTTATTATCAAGATATACATAATTTCAATGTTTAACGACACTCAAATGACTTTTAAAAGAAGAGGTGATACCCCCTTAAAATGAATGCCTTGATTGATTAATATTAGTGGATCTAGTTTAAATTGTTTAATATCAAATTTCTATAACAATAAGGGTTCGTTATTTCTCAGGATGCTAATGGGCGATGGGCTCACTATAAATGATACCAAAGCCTCCCATACACTTATGATTATAAAGTCCATGTTTTGCTAGGAGAGACCCGAAATAAGTGTCAGATCAACAAGTAAAATAAGAGGTGCACAACTGGATTATGTAACAGAGATTTGTGAAAGTATGAATAAATTTTATTCAGTTGTATAGGATGAATTGCGGATAAATCGAGATGGGTACCCCTCAATATTATTGAAAGAAAAGCATTGTCAATGTTTTGCTATGGGAAACCCGAAATATGTGTCCGATCAAAAAGTAAAATAAGAGGTTCACAATGGTATCATGTAGCAAAGATTCTATGAAAATTTTATACATTTCATTTCATATTTGGGTCCCCAAAGCGTAACGGATGATAGTACAGACAGACGGACACCCCTATCACTATTCACTTCCACCTGCTTTTTAATAGGGGGTTCAATAAATAAGTTGCTTTTTTTTAATAGTTTTTGAGAGAAAAAGTGTTTGGATCAATAGTCCTTACATTGAAAAAAAACTGATGCATGATAGAATATGTTCGTATCATATCACAACTACATATAGCCAGATACCTCGCTTTGCAAGAGAATTTCATGAAACGAAGTCTTTGAAAGAACTCAAATGAGTTCATGCGATATTTCGAAACTTGTTAAGCGACTATGCTATGATTAACATATAATCCTCTCTTTATATCATGCAAGTTTTAGTTGTTCGTACTCATTTATCTGAATGGTATATGTAATATGATTAAGTGTGTTAATGATGGCAAGTGGGCTGGTTCGAGGTTAGGCTTGAGGGTGACATACATGTACTTGTAGGATGACACAAAGCATGCACCTCGAATCAGCACAAAATTGCGAACATTATTCAAACAGTGTAAGTAAAGCTTTTTTTTAAGAAGGCTTTGTCGTCTTTAACAAGTACCTGAGAATAAACATCATTCAGTCAGAATCATTGTTAAGTAGTTCTTGGGTAATTCTTGATCTTAGTTTTGTATTTCTTCAACTGATTTTTACAGATATGAGATCTAACATATAAAAAACAGTTCAAAACAAAGAAAAAATACAATTTTTATTCTTATGCTTTTTTATGTAAAAAAAAACAAACAAACAGAGAACATTTCTTTGTAACAGGAAAATTTATCAACCCTTTCTCACACTTGCTTTATAAAGTTTAGTTACTGCTACATCAGTACATGTACTGTATTCTTACTTTTTTCGAATCTTGATTTGTTTGTTTTTTTAATGATGAAAAGTAAATAAACAGAAAATTATCTTCTTTACGTTGTGTAGTATTTCAATCACATGAATAATTTTCGCATCATTTTTAATCAAAAGAATATTAACCAGTTATATAAACATGCTCTTTCATTTTCACCATTTATGTTTTGCAATTTTTCTACCAGTCACCCCGACTGGTTCCTAAGAAGAGAAATGTAAATATTTAGTGAATGTATCTTTTTCCGAATGGTTACTTACAGATCAAATTTAGAATCTAATGTTAATATCTTAAAGTGAAATGGCAATAACATTATAATAAATTTGTGATGCATAAAGACATAAAAGCCATTTCCACCATTAACATGGAGGTCATTAGCATATGAACAATTAGAAGTACGTATATGAATGACTTGAATTCAGAATGAACATCCGATGACGGCCATCGCATTACGTTACAGGAAGTTGACCACAATATCACACAGAGGTGATACCATTAAAATGTCGATTATCAGATTTTAATTCCTGAAATCAAAGTCTTGCTTCCACTTATTCGAACAAGAGCTTAGCGCTATTAATTATACAGTACCTTTGTTTCTAAAAATTTTAAATGATATGTACATGTACATGCAACTAGCAATTAAATGTTGCATTTCTCAAAAGTTTGACTCTGTGAATGTTAGATTTGAAGCTTTTATTTTGTGATTAAAGAGACTCGCGCTCCTCAAATATTCTCAGTACATATTGCTTTATCTGAAAAATGTAAAATTTCATCTTAAGAATTATTTTGCATTACATTGATATTGTTAAAACGATTTTTTGTGTACGTTAACAACCTACCATACCTGCAACAATAACTAAACAAAACAACTAAATTAATATATGATATATTTATAAAGGTGATGAAACTTGCGGAACTAGTGACTGTTTTCTCCGTCCTCTTTCTCGTTACGTTTTCTATGGGAGATGGCGCTCCACAATGGCGACCACAGGGCAGGTTTGGAAAACGTCTTGATCAGAGATTTCCCTCCTCATGGCAACCAGGCAAGTAGAACACAAATTAAACGAACACTTTTTTGTAGATTTAAAAATGAATTTAACGATTTTTTTAAAAAAAACGAAATTTAGATAATTAAAAAATTTAAGAAATTTCGAAGTTGACGTACGAAACACTATCCAAAATACCGTAATCTTAATTAAGCACATATTACAGTAAAAAAAATACTGGATTGTGCAATCAAATTGTTTCACTTGCTTTCTGCATGTTCTGGTCACTCCATACATAAGAGAATATATAAGCAGGAGTGGTTTGTAATCTTAATTAATTGTTTGAATCTTTTTTTAAAATTCTTCTTTCAACAGCATCCGGGTCAGAAAAAGACATAGACGTTTTCCCTGTTTTACAAGAACAGACAGAACAACAAACAAACAATGTAGATAATCTTATAAATGTGTTAAAGAAAGTATGCGTGGAAAGCAACGTACCTGGCCTATATAAATGTTACAGGTATAGTACAGTTTTGGTTCATATACTTCATAAGTAATTTGACCAAGATCAACACAAAAAGAGAGATTTTGCAATAGGAATTATTTTAAAACAAAATTATTATTAGTAGGGAAAATCATACATCATTATGTGTTTTTTTCTTTGGAATTTTATTTTAAAAAGTTTCTTTGTTTATATAGTAGAGAGAAAGAATACGACTTCAAACAATATCAAAATTTTTATTTAATTTCAGGAGGGGTGATTCAAGCTTCCGATCCTCTTCAGGGAATGCTTAAGGTGCTTCTGACCGGACGTCTTCTGTTCTCAGTTGATATTTCAATTAAGGCCATTAAAACTGTTTGGAAACATTCTCATTTGAAAATTAAAACCAGATTAATGTTAACTTTTTCATTTACGCAACAAAATGCACAAACAGCAAAGAGCTCGTGACTTCAACCTCGAGATTGTGAATTGATCAATACCGAATTCAATTTCCGGATTTATTCTACTTATTGTAAATAAATGTATGCCTAATAAAAGAATAAAATTTATTCAAAGTTTAATTGCTGGTTTATTCCACGGCACTCTATTTTCTGCGTATTTTTACTCTTCGATTTGTGATTTCGTTTGTCTATTTTGTTAAGGAAATAAAACCCATAATAAAAAAACTGCAATTTGTTTATTTTTATGTTTTCATTGAAAGAATAACTATAGAGACCCTGGAATGATAGTATAGAGTTGTTCTCATTTAATGCCACAAAATGTTTCCACCTTACTTTGGAGAATTTGTTGCAATCGTATCTAATATGCTATTTGGTGCAATCACAACCATAAAAAACACTGTAAATGATTCGAAAACAGAAAGACACCAAGTAATCAAAATTAAAGTTGCACAGTTTTATAACTGGAACGTATAACTCAAAGATCAAGTTCTTTTTTAAAGATTCTAATATCTTCAAAATAAGCATGCGTACTTTTGTTCACGTTTTTACAATTTTTGGCGAAATTTCCACGGATATTAATTTATCAACTCTGTGCTGTCCATCCGTTTTCTAATGATGCGCAAAATTGGATCAGCTAAATTGTGGATTCATACGGAGAGTTTTAATTATTTAAAGTTGTAATGAAACAGTTCATACGACATCGCACATAGGATCGCCGAGTCTGAATAGATTACAGTCTGAACTCGAGATAAATATGATAAAGCTTTTATCGGTTATCTTTCGTTTTTTAAAACTTGAAATTGCATCTGAATTTGTAAATACGACAAGGGATTTCGTAAATTTCGGTATCACCGAAGGACCGTACCGCAGTGGGATTCAAACATAAGAATCAACACCTTACTGTACATGTGCGCCAGTATTTTTAGCAAATGCTCGATCCGTCTTGACATACATCTAACTGAATTTTCCTTTTTTTTAAAAAAAAAAAACAAAAACAAAATGTACCATGTTTTCACTGGAATTTATTTGTAGTTTTTTTACAATCTCACGCTCTTTTAACGTCATGATCTCTCTTTCCGCTTCACACGCGTCTGTTAACATTTAATATGGAGAAACAATCAGGACCAAAAATTGGCCTCTTTCAAACAAGACCAAACAACTGGCCTCTTTCAAATAACATCAAAACTGGCCTCTTTCCATCTGCGATGATGGATTATATTAGGTTTCGTGTATAAAATTTAATGTACACGTATAATGGAACAATTCTTTGCTATTTATATGAAATTTTGACAAATTATTAAGTAAATTTTCTGGTTTGATTCTGGTTTCACTGATTTAAATATCACTCTGGTGTCTCAAGATGCCAGTATTACAATCCACTTTTTTTAGTATCACAATCTTACAAAAACTTCTGCATTCTTATCAATTATAGGGGAAATATTATTCCATAATTTATGTTTTTATCAACAACAAAGTGTTTCTTGCTGTGTAACAAATTCGAACAACTCAAAATTTATAACTTGTGAAGCTTGAGTACTTTTTTAACTTGCCTTTACTTTTCATGTCCAAGTTTTGCAGTTCTAGTATATAAAAAGGCAAATATAACTTTACAAACAATAACTGTTCTTTATTTTTTGATTTCAAGAACAAAGAGTCAAGAGCTTATCATTGCACTCATTTTAAAGAGTTTTTCTTCATTTGTCAAATGTTGAGGAATCTAAACTATGAAATACCATATTTACATTGCCAATTACAAATACAATTTCACCACTGTCTCTTTTTGGCATAATGAATTCAGAGAAAGAAAATATTTTATAGTGAATACGTTATCGATAGAAGTCAATACAAAAAAAATTGCAAAATACGAAAAAATGTGTTGAAAAGTTGGAACAATGTTTAATACAACGAAAGGCGTTGTCTCACGCTTCTGTCCCTATCCATATTTTCACATCCTCGAATTCACAAAGTCCACATAAACCAAACTTTATGGCAACCTGAAAAAATACATATACATGTACTGTTCTTGTACAACTGAAAAAAGTGTGCGTATAATAAAATTGGGTGTACTTTTGCCGACCTCTCATGACAAATTTAATATTGTTGAACAGTTCGCGCTGAAGTGACCAATTTTACAAAAGAAATAGTACATTGGATTTTTAAAATTTATCCTTGATAGCTTTGCTTCTTCATTTATTTATTTCTCTGTAGCATAAATCCTGAAAACACATGACGTACTTTAATGGATTACTTCGAAAATCATAGAGAGCTGAGGATTTCCATCACCACGATCTTCATGGCAATGAAATTTAAATTTAATTTTTTATTCGGATGTATGCGCCATATCTACTTCTCAATTTCATAAACGTGTGAAAAAAACATTTCAGTAGGGGAGTCAAAGCTTTTTTAACGTGTTCAAGAATTGTAACCTACAGAGAATTCAGAAAGATCAATATGACTTTAATAAAATCTAGGACAAAGACATAACCATAGCAAACTCATTTCTGATACCTGTAGTCAGTCAGTACAATTTTAGATGACCTAAATATTTGTTATCGGTGAAAAAAATCTTATATCATGAAATTAATCAAATTATTAAACCTGTCCCTACCGAGAGATAAAAAAGGGTTTGTTTTCTTCAATTACCATGTGTACGTGTAAATTCCAATAATTAGATACCTTTGCGTGATAATTAATGTCGATGATCTTACATCCGGGCAGTCCTGAGGGTGGTAGAACGGGCACCTGTCCTATGGAGGAGCCAGTGACGGTGTCTTCTTCGCCAGAACCTAATCTTAGATCTCTCTCTGCTATAGTGAAAACCTTTTTCTCTGACGTCGTTCTCTTAAATCCTCCATGATGTCCAGTATAAATCACTAACTGTTAAAGGTGAACAATATGCTAATTAAAAAATACGTCACGATCGAGTGTATACACAAAAAATAATTTGTATTGATTTATTTTGGCGTTCAATAAGCTTGTTTTGATTTAATTGAAAAAATTACATGTAGCCTAAAGTCAAGTTTGATCAAAAAAAATAGTTAAGTTCTCTGCCTGCTAAAATGAATATTCCTTTAACATTTGTTTAATCCTACATTTTTTTTCATAAGACAACAAATTTAAACCGCTTCAATATACATGTACAATAGTGCTAAATATTTAGACAGAACTACATGTAGGAGTGGCATGTTGTTGTAAATGGAGGACATACTGAAAGGACAGGGTTGGGGAGGGATTGTTAGTTATACATTATTTCATAAAAGAAAGAGTGAGCAAGATTAAGCTCATAATACCCATATTTTCCATACCATTTTAGAACTCTGCTCAAATGAATGGTAACATTAAACAGATATTAATTAAAAGCCCTTCCCTATTATAAATGGTTCTTACATATTTCTATTTATGGTACAGAGGTGTACTATAAAAAAAAAGACGCTTCAGAACAAAAAAAGGGACATCGCATTTCACAAACTTCAAACTTAAGATATCGCAAAAGTAAAAGAGATATCTCTCTAGGAAAAAAAAATGTTTAGACTAATCTCTTCAAGGTTCAGAAGTATATCAACTTTTATTTCTAAAGAGATATCTCTCGAAGAGAAAGAGATATATGTTGTAAATTATCTCTCTATTGGCTTAAGAGATATCTCTCGGGTTCGAAGAGATATCTTTCGATCACAGAGCAAACGCTCTACCGACTGAGAATCTCAATGAGATATCTTAATGAAAATATCTCTCTAAATTGAGAGATATCTCTGTAATTTTAATATAAATTTTATCATCCGTTAAATAGCAAAAGAGGTTGTAATATATTTTTATTTTTAAAAAAAAATTATCTCCTCTTGAAAGATACCTTGGCCCTTCATTTGAATTTTAAATTCCCTTTAGTTTACTCAAGAATATTTACATTTCCAAATTACAAATTTTTTTTAATTCCTTTACAGTAATACTTGGCGCTCCCAAAAAAAAAACACCCATTGTGACACCAACTTACCCTTAAGGGGCATGATTTGAAAAAAAAAGTTTAAATACACTTGTCTATATTATGAAGCTTAATTCATTTTAGTATCTTTTCTGGCACAGGCGGTTCTTAAGAAAAAGATTGTAAAATGATTTTATTCTTTTTTTTTTATTATTATTTCCTCTTGGAAAAGACCGTGGTCCTTTATTTGATTTTTAAACTCCCATTACACAAGAATAATCTTTGCCAAGTTTGTTTAAAATTATCTAAGTTGTTCCATAGAAAATGACGAAAATGTGTGAAAGTTTACAACAATAATACCGACGTATGACGACAGACAGGGAAACTACAATCTTACTTGAGTCTTTACCTTTGGTGAGCTAAAAATATTTTTATTGATAAAAAGTATTTGGTTTGTGCTCAATGTGCTGACTGGTTGACTCAACTAGCCAATTTTCAGGTACACCAAAACAATTTTTTTTTTTTTATAAAAGTCCCCTTTCCTTATTCATATTAATTCAAAAGAATGCTAAAATTTCAAATAACAGATCAGTTTAAAAGTGCGCTCTGAAACCTATCGAATGTTTAAATACATTTTTAGAGTTATCGCGCTTATAAGACAGAAATGCTATCCTTTTATCAGTTTTTCATTTACATACGTACCCTTTGAATTGTGATGCACATATTTTTCAGAACAGATGAGGTGTTATTCTTTATATTTATTTCGTATTTTATCCTGTCCCCCGGAATATAACCGGATTTATCTAATTTTAGTTGAATGTCAACCGATCCACTGCGACAGCAACATGACCTCGCTGTACATTCCTTCCTAATGTCTAATGGGGCCTGAAAAGAGAAAATATATATATATATAAAAATTATACTGTTTCCTTGTCAATTTTCATAAAAATTAGGCCATTAAAATCAAGAATGGAAAATCTGGTGTCAACAAATTATTGAATCTTTCGAATTCGGAAAAATTGTGCAAATTATTATATGAGATGATGCAGGCCATTTTATAGTGTTGAATACAATTCACGTGTATCCGTTACTTTTACAACCGAAGTAATATACGCCATCCATTTCCTTTATCATAGGTTTTCATAATTATTCTTGCTGATTTCTGCATACCAATTAAGTTTTTAATTTAGCACAACATATATTCTAATGCATTACAAATGGTTTTGGAAACTGTACAACACATAAAATATACAGCATAATTACATCATTTAAAATTATTAACCTCTAGGCTAATATTTCCAGCAGATTCATATTTGCCTTTTATCCAACTTGCAGAACAAAATGTTATTTTTTAAGCCTTATATTACATGTAGTTATGAATTTACGTCAAGCAGAAAGATTTCACATTTGTTATTTGTATAAATTTTCCAAAAATTAATTTGAATTTCTATAGCTAGAAAAAAAAAACACGTGTTATAATTTTGTTATGCAAGAATGTCTTAAATCAGTTTGCATTTGTAAAGAGGGATGGAGGGGGTTCAATTGAATAGTCCAGACTATCATAAGTATGGTTAATTAAGCCCCCTTTCCATGATGATTAGAAAGCTAGTGGAAAGGGTTTAGTATTGCTCTCAAAACTGTATATCTCTTTTTATTCTCGAGAACTTTTCGCAATTATTTTTTATTTCAAACCACAATTCGTAAAAATTTTGTCTCACTAATAAAGAATAAAAGACTTATTCGCGAAAAAAAATTAAGTGCTTTATACTAATATTTCTAGCTTTGACTAGTTTTCCCATGTTATTTTTCTAAATACTTAAAATTGTAATTCTTACTAGTGCTTCAGGAATAGTCTTTAAACTGAGGGGTCGATGAACATCAAACCATTTTGTTTTTGCGATGTCGGGACTATACGCAAAACGCCGCCCAATCTGCACATGGCAATGATAGATGACGTGACCCATTCCGTTGTGTTCCGAAAAGGAAGAAGGCATATTCTCTGGAAAATCCACTTCAAATGGATACGTGTGGTTTCCTGCCTCTAAAATTCCTTCACTGTCTGGGTCCGCTAAAATAATAATAATAATAATAAATCATGATTTTCAAATGTATCATGCAGATAAATCGATCCTATCAATGCGGTCCTCATTTTGTCAATACATGTATATTTTAACCATAAAGTATATCTAATATAAACACCGAAATATCCTTGCAAATAATTTTTAGATAAGAGCAAATTCTGTTGAAGTAAAATAACGACAAATATTCGAATTTATTAACTTTCATAAACTTTGTGGTGAAAGTTATCAAACATGGTGGGTATTCTTCCAAATAACTAAATGTTTTTCTTTTTTGTACTTTAAGGAGGTTCTACACACTACTCACTGAAGAGTTCTAATGGCATATTGGATGCAGCTAGAGCATCTTCCCTTTCATATGAATTGACATAAATAGGTTTAAAGAAAATAACAGGATTTCAGTGGATTCAGGTATTCCCAACATAATATTAGCTCAAGGTATATACATGTGAGAGAATATAGTTCCTCAGCTCGGAATTTTTTGTCTGCAACATGCTACTCTGGTTTCATCAATATTCGTTGAGCACCAATTTTCGAGGAGTTCGTTGTTGAGCAAATCCACGAAATTCAATTGTCATTGAATTAAGAAAAATGTTATTTATTTGTACATGTACAGACAATGTTTTTATCCACGAAATTAAGTATCCTCGAAAATGTCTGTTTTACAAAATACACGAAAATTGATGCCAATGAAAATTGATAAAACCACGGTATTAGGCATAATTTAGCAATTGAAGAACAGAAGATTTTACGAAAACGAAATCCAAAAATTCTTTGAAAATTGGAATCCATGCTAAAAAAAAAATAATAATTTAGCCAATGGCATAAATAGAATACCTTCGTACAGAGTTAGCAGTTCATTGAGGTAGACATCTTTATCGCCATCATCTGTGTTGTAACCCAGACCATAGCTGTAGTCCGTGGAGTGAACGGCTGTGTGCGTCTGACCAAGACCATGAAACCGTATCTTAACATCTGCAATTTTATTATACATGTATGACGTGTGAAATATAAATCTATATTTCAATGACATCATAGATCTATTTATTTCGTATGAATTTGAATTTAAAGTTATGAGGGTGCTGTTTTTAAGGTAGTATGATCCTCAGCCAGGAAGGATAACTCTTAAATTTATAATTAAATTCAGAAAGTTCCAAAATGAGCTTGTAAATTGAATCTTTTCATGGAACAATTTTCATTTTATGCCTTTCAATGAGCTTCAAGGTTCTTTGAAGTTCTCTGAAAGGTCTTATAAAAAGTTGAAATTTCAACCTCCTTAAAGGGTTTTAAAATAACATATTGAAAGAAATTGAGTATTTTTTAATCCAGTCATAAATACCAATCTTAATTAACATGATTTGAAATAAGAAGTGATTTGTGGTGTTATGCAATGATAGGAAAGTCTTTATGCACTTTGCATTGTAAAATGGTCGAAGTAAATAGGAGAAAATAAAGTACCTCATATGTATCAAAATTATGCAATTTCTTCAAAAGCCTGGATACCTTTGATTTTTAATTTTAAAATGTGTTTGATGATCGGATCGAATCTGAATTGGAAAATGCATAGTAGGTGTTTTTATTCGTATTTCCTGAAAATCTATTTGAGATTTACTAAATTTACCTATATAATGTGATTGACTTTACTTTATACACATGTAGTTGAAGTTTGAAGGGTTATTGTGGGTAAAAACACACTACTTTGAGAATTCAGAGAAATTTTTGTGAGCATTTTCCATTAGTCAATGCCTGATTTTCAGAACCTGGGGATCGGAGTACCTTAAAACAATATATAACTCATAATATATAAAAAAAATATTATGTATACAAACAGAATATCACAGTAATCATGTCTTGTACTCACAATGGACCTCAAGCGGGGTCTGCAGGTTAACCTGTACATGACCTTTGACCGTCATACCCGGTCTAAGCTCATCATGGTCGAATATAATACCAACTCGTGCCTTATCATACCCTTCAATTTGGCCTACAACAATACAAAGTCAAAATTGATACAAATCACTTGCATTGCAAAAGCATCTTGAAGTGTAAATTTAATTTGTTCAATTCTTAAACTTAAGCACTTGGTGTCATATTGTTACACAATTACTGGAGTATTTGTCTACGAATCCAATCAAAGATGCCACATTAATTGACCTACCTTTGATGTTTATCATTTTGAAGGGTTATTGCAATCAATGATTCACACACGATGTCTTCTTAGATTGTTAGTTAAAGCTGAAACAGTTTTCAAGAACGATAAATCTCAATCATGCAATAGTTAGTCTTAAAAACACCATGGCTTCAAATGTACATTCACCAGTCCTTTACAACTTCAAACAATTTTCAATTGAAAGGGTCCTACATTTGGCAATTTTATAGACCATTATGTACCTTTAATATACAAAATATAGTGAACATCGACCGTCATGATCCATGAAGTAAACTTTTACAGGATTATAATCGCAATGGAGGAGATTACTTTGTTTATTAACTACATCTTATTAATGGGCAACATTAATGGGCACATGTACTGTACTTCAAAACCATTCATTTAAACGTCAGTTTGTCAGAGTTAAAAATATTACTTGGCATGTTTACACTCATAACAGATTAATGTGCGTTAAAAATAGCAATAACAACACTGCATTCCGTACAGCAGAAGCGTTTTAATGTCGCAACACATCGCCATTTCATGCTCGCTTATCATGAATTGATAAAAATGAAATTCATACGACACATCGATGGAATGACTTACTTCTGAGTGTTTTCATGGTAACCAACAAAGCCGTTGCCTTGGCGATTCAAAAGAATAAACCAAAAAGGATTTGGAATCTGAATGTGTCTGCTTCGTTGTACACAAGATTTTTTCTCCGGATCAATATTATGTTGTTACTTGATACACATGGCGTCGACAAGATCGAACAATTTGGTTTAAATGCGGTCCTCGGCCGCTTGCCGAGGCGTGAAAGGCAGGCGCACCGAACAATCTTTAAAACGCCCGAAATTATTTAACTTCGACCCTTTATATTGCTGCATATGATATATTCTTTGAAGTGTTTAAACAGGTCAATAAATCATTACTCAGATAAAGACACAGAACCAAGGGTTACCTTGTATCAATGAAAACACCAATGCCAACAAAACGCTAAATCATTGATGAGGGATAGACAGCCTTAATCATTAAAGGCATATAATTAGGGTTACATTGTGTTTCGTCTTAATATTGCTTTGGAGAAGGACGTTTAACCACAGCTTGAACAATATAGATCGAGATATTTTCATTAAAAAGGTTTTCGCTGTAAGCTTTCCATGAAACTAGTACATCAATATTTCATGGAAGTGCGGTCATGTTCACTTGACATTTTCTACAATTATCGATATAACATTTTCTAACTATGGGTTGCTTTACTTCTGTTAATTAATTTCTGCTCTATAAATAAAGTTTTCTATAAGAAACTTTTTGGTGAAATGCATTTTCATATATCAAGGCAAAGAAATCAAACCCCAAACAAAATATAGTCTTTACTGCCCCCCCCCCCAAAAAAAAAGGGGGGGGGAAGAGACCTTTCACTAAACATTAATATTTGAACAGTGACTAAAGGTTATATGTTGGAGAAATCTGTATGGTTATAGAGTCCCCATCCACTCATACAGCATGCCTGATTTCTACGCGTAATATAGAACTGAGTAAAACTATTCAAAATTGCAGTAAAGTTTAATAGTGCATGTACTTTAAGCATAAGCACTTTTGACATATTGAAATATTAATTTTCACATAATTATGACATTTCTGGAATTATCTTATGGTTCTAAGTATTTGCTACAAAATTAAATTTTTCATAAAAAATTTCTTAATGGTTTATATTGGAGGAGGAGTCCAGGCACGCATCCTTCCTGAACGATCGGAAGGGGAGGGGGAGAGAACAAGTTTTAAGCGAAAAAATGGTTTATTCCCACTTAGCCAAAATTCTGAAATTCTTATTCCCACTTAGCCAAAATTGATATTTTCGCACCTGAGTGGTCACCTGTGTATAGTCTGTTTTAGATTGATTACCTGTAATTTACCTGTAATTTTCACCTGAGATTTATATATTTAGTTATTTACCTATATACTTATATATAGGTATAAACAAAAAATTTAATAAATAAATGAATGAATGAATGAATGAATGAATGAATGAATGAATGAATGAATGAATAAATAAATAAATAAATAAATAAATAAATAAATAAATAAATAAATAAATAAATAAATAAATAAATAAATAAATAAATAAATAAATAAATAAATAAATAAATAAAATAAATAAATAAAGGAAATGAATTATACTTTAATTAAAGAAGTTAATGAATAGGTAAAAAAATATATTTAGAAAATATTTAGGAAATAGTTAATTTAGTAATTCATCTCTCAAAGCTTATATGTTGTATAAAGTTTTTACACAAAAAAATAAATTGTTGATAATTATCAAACCAGAGATAAATAAACAAGATGCAATTATATAGTGATAAGATAAACAAGGGTGCCCTGTGATGCTTTTCCTATGTTGGTATCTATTTGATAATTGATGTAATTAATGAATCAGGAAAGGACATAATTGTTAATTTAAAGTGTCAGTGTGATATTTTGTGTTTTTTTCTTTTGTATTATGAAAAAGAAGAAGAATGAAAAATAAATATACTGAACATAAAACATGCTTCTTTATGTATTAATTTAGCTGAAAAAAAACAATGAATTATTTAAAAGAAAAACATGTAATTACAAATTAGAATTAGAATTGAAAAAAAAGATATGAGAAAAATAAAAATTTAAAACACACACACACAAAACCTTGTAATTACAGTGAAAAAAAAAAACAACAAAACAAAACAAAAAACAAAACAAAAACTTGTAATTACAGATTAAAATTTTTAAAAAACGTGAAAATTAAAAAAAAAAAGTAATTAATAAAAATTAGAAAAGACATTTTAATATTTAATACATCACTTTAAAATATTACCTAGAAACAAATATAATAAATGAAGAATTTAAATAATTCATAGTATACTGGTCATTCTAAAACAGACTATAGGACACCTGTAATTAATTTCTTTTGTTCTCTCCCTGCCCTTACCTGTACACCATTCCCACTTAGCCAAAACCAGTCACCTGTATCAATTTCAGAATTTTGGCTAAGTGGGAAGACACCGAAAACTGAATACTAAAGAAAGGAAACTTGTTAAAACTCCAGTGTTACATGTATATCCCAAAAGGAATAGTGTGTATGTTCCAACTTCAGTTCACAATCCCTCAATGAACATTTTCAACAGTAAAATGTTATGTTTAGAAAAACGTAAGGATCTCTCCCCAATACTTCATGACCGGGGTCTCTACACAAACATACGTGTAAAGGAATTTGTATCTATCAAGAAAAACATTTTGTTAAAGCCATCATTTAAAAAAAATGCGGTTGCCCTCTCTCGACCAGAGGGTTAAAAATGTCCCGACCTAAAACTTTTTTTAAGCTCCCGGAAACAATGTTTTTTAGGCATTCTGGAAAAAAATTAAAAATTCAGCATTTATTTATCATTTGAAAATTTTCTGTGATATAGGGGTGATACAGGTACAACATGTACAACTACATGTTGTAACCGACCCCTTTTTTTTATCCAGAGTCCAATGAGGGCAAACAATCATTATTCTTAAGATTCATGGCCTTACTGGAATCAGTTGTACATTACGTGACTATATTTTTCTTTATATTTACACGTAAATCTTATTTAGCTGATATAATTATGCAATGAGGTTTCTATATCTGACTTTACATTCATATGAATCTGTGTATAGGCTAGCCTAGTACATGTACATGTAACTCGAACACGCACTGATACATGTATGTCAGTTTGTCAAATTTTACACAAAATAGGATTTTCGTGTTTGGACAATGGAGAAATTTTCTCTTTTTTTGTTTTGTTTGTTTTTTGCTTGTCAAGGTTTTTTTGTTGGATTTTTTTCTCCTCCAATTACCCCCCCCCCCCCTAACTTTCAATTTGCTACCAGAGATGAAAGTAAATTTCTAAATTGATCACTCCATATAGGCCTATCCCACAAAACGTGAAAACTACACGTTACTACAACTTATTTTAGAAGTATCTAGTTGATATTTGGTGGACATGTATTTAGGCCTAATTATTTATTTACAGATGTAGATGCCCTCAGAAAACCATGCAGTGCCATTTTTGTTGAAGCAGCAAATTTTGAGCAAATTTCGGAGATCAATCCTTTTTCCTTTAAGTTTTGGTAAATAGATAAACTTAATTGAACTTCTGTATCAATGGAAAGTAATATAAAATTATGTTTTTTATCGCTCAATCAAAACATAGACCCAGACTCTGACATAAATAAATATTTTTAACCGGGCTCGGATATTGTTCCGAGTGAAATGTTATATTAGATCTTTCTATTAAAATATCATTAAATTGATATGTAACCAAAACCCTCAAACATGTTAAATTGAAAATTTATGAAAAACTAAGCTTAGATCTTACCACCAAGGCCTATGAAAATTAGTTCAATATTGTTTTCCAGTGTATAGCTACACATCAAATTTGACCACCATCACTACTTATACTTGTATCACGTGATATCAGATAAAAAATGTGTACAGACCTTTGAGGAGTAAATTTAGATTAAAATACTTAAAAGCAAAGAAGATCCGAGTCAATGCAAGTTTATAAGCATTCAATCAGACCGTAGTATCATCTTACCAGTTTGGCGAAGTTGTGTTGCAAATTAAATTTAAATCGGGATTGGAATGTTTTTCTCATCGAAATACCGAGTCCGATTGTATTTACGTTTTACGAAACATGACATGATAAAAATATTTAGGACACTCAGCCACCGTCTTGTTAATCTAAGACGGGTTTCTTTGTTAACAGTGGGGACTGCGGTACTTAGAAAGTTACATATACATGAAGGAATGACATCTGTAACTTTAGAGTCTCTAAATTTTGACAATTTAGCTCTTCGGTCCCTTCCCATCGACCCAGAAAAAGAAAACTATATTCGACAAGTTTCAGGTGCGTGCTTCTCGAAGGTAAAACCGACACCGGTATCCAACCCACAGTTGGTGGCAGCATCAGTCCCTGCATTATCACTCATTGATCTGGACTCTGCACAAACAGAGAGGGAAGACTTCGCAGAGTTCTTCAGTGGAAACAAACAGTTGCCTGGCAGTGATACTGCGGCACATTGCTACTGTGGTCACCAGTTTGGGTATTTCTCAGGACAGCTGGGAGATGGAGCTGCAATGTGAGTAGTACAACTGTCAAAATCAGTGTTTATGTGAATAGAAATGTGTTTTTAGATACATGTTTACAAAAATACATGAAATTGTAGAATATATGCTCCATATTATTTTGATTGACTCGTAAAATCCATGGGGAATCATTAAAGAATGAGATGTTACATCATATGACATTGAATTGGATTGTTTATTAATAACTAGATAGCTCATAATTGGTAGAGCACATTTTCAGGGGGCCAGGGGCATGTTCAACAGAGCGATATCGAACGTTAGGGAGTGCTCGCCAAAATTCCCTTCACTTCATATAGTCATGATTGCAAGCTCTCGCTCTGTTGAATTGGCCTCAGGTTACAATCCTGGTCTGCTTCCATCATCACATTCTCTCCCTTTCTGTGTTGAATATACACATAAACATTCATGCAAAATATGCAAAAGTTTGGGATATCTCACTGTTCAGTCAACATTATATGATTAAGAATTTCTCTTTACATAAATTTTATCGTCTTATAGGTATCTTGGTGAGATTATTAACAAATCTGGAGAGAGATGGGAGATGCAGTTTAAGGGTTCAGGACTGACTCCATATTCTCGTTCCGCTGATGGTAGGAAGGTACTTCGTAGTACTATCAGGGAGTTCCTGTGTAGTGAGGTAATTCTGTCACTCAAAATCAGCTGAGTGGAAGGATATGTGTTAATAATA